TTGTCCCTATTGCCAATTTCTTTTAATGCCTATAGTCTACTTTTAAAACCTGTAATTTTCATTTCTTAATTTCCTATGTAGCCAAGAAATAAGCTAAATCTCCTTTTCAAGAGGTCTTTGAACATCCCTAAAAATATAATTAAACACTTAAGAGTAGTCAGTAGCCTCTACTAAGATAAACATTGAGTTAGGCAATAAAGGTCTTATTTTATTACTTTAAAACATTTTTGCCTCTTTAGAATGGGTAAAATACTTTAACTACTTTAGTAAGATATAAATTACAACTATAACGGTAACCCATTTGAAGGGCCCGATTCAGTGGTCTTTATCATGTTAGCAGAGTTCTGTAATCCTCACCATAATTTAATTTTAGAACATTTTCATCACCTCAAATGTTATCATGGAAATGGAAATTTAATCAAAAAATAAAAATTCTAGAACTTGCAATTATGGAGAGCCAACCTTTATGTATGCATGTATGTATTTAATGTTTGTTTGTTTGTTTGTTTGTTTGTTTATTTATTTATTTATTATTTAGAGAGAGAGAGAGACAGAGAAGGGAGAGAGAGAATCCCAAGCAGGCTCCATGCTGTCAGTGCAGAGCCCGATGTGGGCCTCCATCCCACAAACCTTGAGATCATGACCTGAGGCGAAATCAAGAGTCAGAAGCTTAAGCCATTATTAAGCCACCCAGGTGTTCCTGTGGAGAACTCACTTTTAAATCCCGGTTCAAGGAACAATGAATGCTTCAGGTACTTCAGAGATCCATGACAAACCTGAGTTGATTTTAAAATGTTCAAGCCAGAAGGATCCAACCAATTTTTTTTTTGTTTTTACTAAGATTTTTTAAAGGGATTTTAGAACAATAGAGCCCAGAGAATTTTGACCCAATGCTCAATAATAGATGCCAGGAAAAATAGTTATTAATAGTGTGAGTTTTTTTTTCTCTTGAGCCTCATGATAGCTCTTATGATGTTCTGTTGTTCATATCATAACATTATGTAAAAGGAAATGGTATCAAAGATCACTGAGGTTAAAAGAGAATGGGTTCTGTTATGATAATAGTCCTATTCTGAGGCTCTCATTTCGTTTGCCTTAACTTCAGGGTCATTGAAAATACCCACTACAGTTTTTACTTAAAACACCCAAATTTTGGAGCATTTGGGGGTCTCAGTCGGTGGAGTGTCCAACTCTTGGTTCCGGTTCAAGTCATGATCTCACAGTTTGTAAGTTTGAGCCACACATTGGGGGCCCCATGCTGACAGTGTGGAGCCTGCTTGGGATTCTCTCTCTTTTCCTCTCTCTCTGCCTCTCTCCCCCTCACTCTGTTTCTCTCTCAACATAAATAAACTTTATAAAACACCCAAATATTCTTAGTATTTTTCTCTTCTAAAAAGAATATAGAACAATTTCAATCCTGAAGCAGATGTATTAATTATCTGTAAGCAGTGGTGGAGATTGACCTAATTAACAGTTTACTCTCATCTCCTTTATTACCATACCTGGAAGGGAGTTGTTATTTTCTGCGGTACTTAAACACAGACGCACACTTCTGTGCATCTCCTGAGTCCAGGAAGAATCATGTAGGAACAGAGAACTTTACTGAAATTTGCAGCAATTCAAGAAGAGCTTCATTGTCACAAATGGATACAGTAACGGCCCTCAAGATGACTTTAGGATAGTGCTCAGCAAAAGCTGCATCTCTGCCTTCCATTTTTCTCATCTTCTCCAGGATCATTTGTGTCCATCAGGCAAACTCCTAAAAATTCACTGAAGGAATGTCTGCCATCAAGGGGCTGGCATAAATAAGGGAGAACACTCAGGGTTTCTGTCCTGTTTGCAGGGCCAAATATTTTTTATTCTTCTGAGCCGGACATGCTCTGTATGCTATCTTGTGTAACTTGAAATTCGACATACTCTATCATTTAATACATTCATCTATTATTCACCAAGAATAATTAATATCAAACCCAAGCTCTACAAATAAGATGTGACATTTGGTTGTCCCAAAGAGTGGCATATCTACACCATATATTCCTTGAGTTTGGTTTCTTTTGTTTCGGGGTCAGGATTCCGCATCCAGTATAAGTTTTGTTGTTGTTACTTGTTTTAGATGTATTGGATTCACTGAGAAGGCAAATCACCTCTCTGTATGAATCAATATTAGAAAAAAGTTTAGTTTTTAACACTAAATGGTAATTTTATGACTGAACCAAGTCACCTACTAGCTTAGGTAGTAGTATCTTTCCTTCTTTCCTTTCTCCTCTCTTTCTCCATCACTTTTTTCCTTCCTTCCTTCCTTCCTCTCTTCTTTCCTTCCTTTTTTCATCCTTCAATCAATTCTGTGCATAACAATTTTATCATTGTTGGGCACAAATCAAAGATCTAATACACAGTCCTTATGTTCAAGGAATGTTTAAAAAACCATTCTACTATGATGATGTTGGCAATGGCTTTTCATTCTTTGAAATGATCCTATCAGCCACTAGCATTTCCCATTTTCCGTAATCAGAAAATTTGCCACTAATGAAAATTTTTAAGAGGAATATTATGAGGAAACACAATGACAGTTAGCTGAACAGTTGAATTGAAGCATCTTTTGTTAATTGTGTGTTTCAACCTCCACATTTAGCTAATCTTGACATTTCTGAATATGCATATAATGGTGGAAGAGGTTTCTGTGTTTAGATTTTTTCCCTAAGCCTAATCGTTATACAGTTATTAGCTTGACAAATTATTTCTGTATAGGGCAAATAGACAGATGAGTTTTTCATTAATAGATACATCAAAGGGGTATGTATATGATTTTCACATGGTACTAAAAAACAGAAACACTTATCAAATTTTTTGTGTGTAATTCTCCCATGTTGCTTCTGATAAAAACTTGCCAAGCACCAGTGAAATTTGTAAATTGCTTCCCAACAAGTGATGAAATATAGAAAATTATGCTGTTGTGTGATTAGAGTGCAAGGAAATGGTTATTTCCACCCTAATTTTTTGTGAAGAATCACCTTCCATTGCAGGAGTGGTACATAGACATATAGATGTGAACCTCTGTAGGTTGGGACCTATAGGATGTAACCTTGCCTAACAAGTCAGAAATATTGAAAGATGATCATAAGCAAATGGAATCTCTAGGGGCACCTGTGTGGCTCACGCCCTTGAACGTGTGACTCCTGGGTTAGGCTCAGGTTATGAACTCACAGTTTGTGGGATCTGGCTTTGAGTTGACAGAATGGAACCTGCTTGGGATTATCTGTCTCCCTCTCTTTCTGCCCCTCCCCTGCTCACACACTAGCACTCTCTCCTTCACTTTCTTTCTTTCTAAAACTAAATAAATAAGCTTAAGGGGTGCCTGGGTGGCTCAGTTGGTTATGTGTCCAACTTCAGCTCAGGTCATTATCTTCCACTCTGTGAGTCTGAGGCCCACATCGGGTTCTGTGCTGACAGCTCAGAGCCTGGGGCCTGCTTCGGATTCTGCGTCTCCCTCTCTCTCTGCCCCTCCCCTGTTCGTGCTCTTTCTCTTTCTCTCTCAAAACATAACTAACAAAATAAACATTAAAAATAATGAAAAACAATAAATAAGCTTAAAAAAGGAAATGGAACTTCTTTAGAGAAGGGTAGGGTAATTTCCTTTCTTCTTTTTAAATTTTAAATCTCAAAGATTTTGCTTTTATCTTGTAACAAATAGCTATTGGAATATTTTATGAAAACATAATGTATTTTTAGATTTTAACTTAAAACACTGATAGGAATTATAGTATCTTACATTAGTATCACACAGCAAAGTCTTCAACATGTTGTCAACATAATTCTATTTGCTCTTTAGAGAAATCTTGAGGTAATCAGGTCAGGAATTTCACAGGTGAGGGAAATTAACGAGATTCAGAAAGATGACTTGCCCAGCATCATAAATGTCACAGCCAGGACTAAAATCTAGGACATTTTGCCAGGCAGGATCTTTGCACATGTCACAATATTTCAGGAAAGGGATAAAAACACCTCCTGAGTAAGAACATTTTTTGCCTTTAATTGTGTGGGTTTCAGTAAATAATGTGCAAGTAGGTTATATGGCGTTTTGCCCTCAATTTGAAACCTCAGAATGATGAATGGTAAAATGGCTTCTGCTAGATGTTCAACCCAGGACTCCCAGCTTGCCTGTCAAAGCATCAAACATCAAACGTGAGGGAGTGGGCTTTCCACTTTTTTATTGTAGGACAACTTGGCATTTTAATATTGCTCCCAAAACCCTGATCAGGAACTGAGTCTGCTCCCATGGAAAGATCCAGTAAGAGAATACTGGGAAGACCCTGATGAGGGTCCTACAGATAGGGAGACTTTCCCAAACTTTGGAAGGCCACTTAAAGAACCAGAGTACCATATTTTACCGGAATCCTATAACGTTAATGGAGGAGGACTTCAAAGGCATGTTAACACTTTATGTGTCTCAACATAGTTAGGTGAAAATGTTATCTTCCTGGAACAAAAAATCTGTACAAACTAGACTAATAACCATGTTTTTTTATTCATGCACAAAAAGCTGAAACATAGGACTGCACTCCATATTTAAAGAATGGCCAGTTCTATGCAAAGAAAAAAAAGTCAACAAACAGTTCTTTGGCCTTACTGTGGTCGGTCAGGCATAGTCTCTATGCGACTGGAAGTCGAGACATCTCATAAAATGCACTCAGGAATCTGGATAGTAGAACCTTAGAGGCTTTCGATCCTGCTTCTGCTCTCAGCAACCTGCTGTTCTTGTGTCAAGGAAGAAAACATGTAGCATAAAAAGCTAGTGTGTTGGCTTCGAATCCCAAAAAACAAATAACTCATTAAAATGCACGAAATCAACTAGCACATCCATCTGCAGTCCCTTCACCTTTAAAATACAGAAAAAGAGAGGTCCCTGGGTGGCTCAGACAGTTGACATTCGACTTCAGCTCAGGTCATGATCTCATGGTTCCTGAGCCCGAGCCTTGGCATCAGGCTCCCGGCTGTCAGCACAGAGCCGGCTTCAGATCTTCTGTCCCCCGCTCTCTCTGCCAAAAATAAATAAACATTATTTTTTTTAAAAATAAAAAAATACAGATGATCCTTTAATCCAGTGGTAATGTGACCTCTTCCCAATAATCTCCATTAGCCTCTCACCTCCAAACACCCTCAAAATATGAAACGTAACTCAAAACTTTTGGCAGATTCAAAATAAACAAGTTAGCCCACTTCCAAGCTGAAGATACCACCACTTCCCTTTATGTCTGTAGAAAATCTGCAGTGACCACTCCCTGAGTATTTTCCCTTGCCCTGCACTGCTCTAGGGTTTTAGCGTATTTAGGGATCTCACATGATTTTTTTTTTTTTTTTTTTTGCCTTAGCCAAGTGGCTTCCTGACCAAAAATCTCCACACTTTTTTCTTCTGAATTTTCTGATTCATCCCAGAATTTCTTTCTTTGATAACACATAACACACACACACACACACACACACACACACACACACACACACACACCCCTTTTGAGTGTTCTCTCCTTTTCTTCTCCACTTTGTACTGTTTCCTTAATTCCACTAGATATAAATCACTGCGCCAACTACCAGACTAAAGTCCTGGGAGCTCAAAACTCCTGCCGTTTCACACAGGTTTATAGACTTGTTATTTTCATTACTGCTTTATAAACGACGGCGTTTGAAGCAACGTGTAGGTTAAGTAAAAGAACGCTGAGGATTTCAATTGCTCGGATGTTTGCAAGCTATGGTCTTCAAAAGTACACTTGAACTTTTGTGTGTGAAACCGCCAGACTTGAAAGAGTAGCACTGCTTTCACGATTCAGTTTTAGGTGAAGAAAGGAAGCTTCATTGCAAGCATAGGTGAATCTTTTTAAGAACTGCAAATTACTGAGTTTTGAACAACATGTTGGCCATCTGACATAGGATGTGGACTTGATATGACCCACGGGAGGAGAAAAGACATTTCCAGTCTTAGTTTAGAGATTTCTTTTTTCCCCTTTCATCCTTAGCTTTCTCTTGCTTATTTATCACTACATCAGTCACTGATACATTTTCTTTCACTAAATGGCGAAGTCCTCTTAAAGGAAGAATGAAAGTACTTGATCATTTGTAATTTGTAGGGACCCTCATTTCCACATCCTTTTTAAGCTACTTGATATAATTGAATGTGACTATAAATATTCCAGTTTATATTGCAAGATACATCCAGGGTGTATTATGTTACTTCCTTTTATAAAGTTTACTATTTGACTTAAAATGTTTTTATGCCCTCCTCTTAAAGAACATCTTCTCCAGCTAAACTTATAAAAGCACTGTCTAGATCCTGCTGTTATTATCATTTTTTAAAAAAAATTTTTAAATATTTTTTTATTTATTTCTAGGAGAGAGAGAGAGACAGCGTGAGCAGGGGAGGGTCAGAGAGAGAGGGAATCACAGACTGAAACAGGCTCCAGGCTCTGAGCTGGCAGTCAGCACAGAGCCCGACGCAGGGTTCGAACCCACGAACCGCGAGATCATGACCTAAGCGAAAGTGGGACGCTTAACCGACTAAGCCACCCAGGCGCCCCAATCCTGCTGTTATTATTAATACAGTGCTGCTGCTGCTGCCTCTATAGCTAACACAAATACTCAGACACATGCATGCATATTATTTCAATAGAATGACATAACTTTTTTTAAAAAAAATTTTTTTTATTTTATTTCTAGGAGAGAGAGAGACAGCGTGAGCAGGGAAGGGTCAGAGAAAGAGGGAGACACAGACTCTGAAATAGGCTCCAGGCTCTGAGCTGGCAGTCAACACAGAGCCCGACGCGGGGCTCGAACCCACAAACCGCGAGATCATGACCTAAGCAAAAGTTGGACGCTCAACCGACTAAGCCACCCAGGCGCCCCTAAAATGACATAACTTTAAAGGAAAGATTTTTTTGTCTCCCTAACATTAAATGAAGATGTCAGAGCAACTCTAAGACTTGGACGAGGTTTGTAGTAAGCGGCAAAGCCTGGACTGAAATTTGGGATTTTGGACTCCATCAACTGTTTCCTTTCTCTTTCTTCCACAGCTATTTGAATTCTATCATCACACATAATGTAACATTAAGGCATATTTCACAGAAGAGTTGGGGAACGGAAGCCACTAGTTTGTTGAGCATGATATCATTTAAACTATTAAATTGAAGCCATTAAATAAGACATTAAAATTCTTTTTAAAAATCTAGGTTACAACCACTTTTAAACAATGTTGGACATGTGCATCACACACCACGTTATGAGAAAATAGTAGATTTTAAGTCACATTCCTAATTTCAGAGAATATACCATTCTATCAGAGTAGGTAGAAACTATAAGCATTTTAAGAAATGGAAAACAATTTGAGAAAATTATTAACATGATAATGAGTCAGTTCCCTAGGAGTTGAAAGAGACCACATCAGATAGGGGTAGTATAAGAGACATTGTTTCCTTCTTAATTTTTTTTACATTAATTTATTTCTGAGAGAGGGAGAGAGACAGAGCACAAGTGGGGGAGGGACAGAGAGAGAATGAGACACAGAATCCGAAGCAGGCTCTGGGCTCTGAGCTGTCAGCACAGAGCCTGATGTGGGGCTGGAACCCACAAATCATGAGATCATGACCTGAGCCGAAGTCAGATGCCCGAGTCACCCAGATGCCCCAGAAATTGTTTCCTTCTTAGAAGTCACACAGAAGACCCTGAAGATTTTACCATAGGAACACTAATCTCCAGATAGGGACAGTGGTCGATTGCATCTCACCTTGGTGTCATTTCCCTTTTGGGATTTCTCCAGTAGCATTGCTGTTCCTGATGGCAGAATCAGAGTTATCTTCCTTTCCTTCTAAAACTTTGACAGAAGTGCCCACAAGCTTTCCTCTCCTGGGATATTTCAACGTAGCCCAAGTATCACCAACTTACAAACACATGGGCTGACCTGGAACAACAGGAAAACAAGATGGAAATGTAACAAAGTTCAGCTTGCAAACCAGTCTATGGCCCCGCATCCTAATCTACTCAGTGCAAAGACCCCGCCCTATCAAACATCCCCTTGGAAACACAGTAACACACCTTTACTCTGAAGCACCTGTAGAAATTTTTAGTTCCTTGCTTTTTTTTTTTTTTTTCAACTCTTAGCTTGCTGCTACATAAAGGAAACTTTTTACAACTCGTAAGTTTGGAAACGATCTCCAAGGTCCTTGAGGGTTGACAAATAGGATTTTCATTGAGTTCTGGTTTATTTTTTATTTTTTTGGCCCCAGGTGATTTACAAAAGTTGTGACTAACAGGAAGAATAATCTGAATTCAGGAAGAATTTTAGGTGTTTTTTCTTTCTTTCTGGGTACAGCATTACCCCATGACATGCTCAGTGATATAGCAATATCAACCCAAGAAATTATGACATTCCCACAGCAAGAATGATATCTTTATATACCAGGACACAGGGAGAGGTAGGAGTTACCATACTGTTGGATTCTAGTAAGAGGAGCTATTTGGAGAAACGAAAAGTTTCTATATGCTACTTGAAGGAAGAGGTATTTGTACTTACCATGACGTGTTGAACCTGCTAGATTTCTTAAAATAGCCTTATTCTTCCAAGATTAGGGAATGTGCCTGTTGATGAACCTTTCATCAGCAGGCTTCTTAATTAAAAGAATATGATGAGAGGAAGGGGCGAGGGGAGGTGCTTTTAGCCAGGTCATCCCCTCATCTCAAAAGGCACGATGTTGCTTACAACACCAATAAACTTTCTTCTTTATAAGAATTATTTAGTCTGCAAGCAGCAAATAAAATTTTATTTTTTCCTCACACATAAAGTTTATTCCAGACAGACCACCAGCCTGTCGTTAAAAAATAAAACCGAAAATAAACCAAAACCAAAACCAAAAAACCTCAGGGTTTATTTGATGTGAGAGCGGAATATTAAAAGTCACGTGGGAGAAAGAGGTTATTCCAGAAAGAGGAAGCCCGTAGAATCTCATTACTTGTAGTTATCAGTCGGAAATTTTAAGATGTGGATGTTTATTAAGGCTTCTGTGCAGATATTAGATGTTTGACCACTTCTCTCAAAGGATCAATCAAACACGGAGTTATCTCAAAGCAGAGGGCATAGGATTAAGAAAAGGAAATAGAAATTTGAACCATTATTATATAGAAGTAAGATTTTAGAAGTTTTATGTACAATGCAGATTATCCAGTAAGACCTCCATCAACCTATTGGTTAATTAGTAAATATTTATGAAATGCCTCCTATGTTTTCAGAATGACTATTACTAGTGGCTAACAATCAGTCTCTACTCTGTGTTAAGCCAGGCACAAGCACTTTCCGTGGACTATTTAGTCCTAGAGTCATACTGTTACATAAATGCCATTACAGATGAGAACCCTGAGGCACAGAGAGCTTTGGTAATGTGTTCAAGGTCACACAGCTGGTGAGAATAGAGCTGGGAGGGGCACCTGGGTGGCTTAGTCAGTTAAGCATCTGAGTCTTGATTTCCACTCAGGTCACGTTTTCCCAATTTGTGGTGGGTAAGCACAATTTAGTATATCCAAACAATGGGATACTGTTCACCAATAAAAAGAAGTGAACAACAAATACATATAACACAGATGAACCTCAAAAGCATTGTGCCAAGTGAAAGAAGTCCCTTGCAAATATCACTCAGGTAGGAAGAATTCTTTTTTTTTTTAAAACGTTCATTTCTTGTGAGAGAGAGCAAGCAAGAGAACATGAGTGGTGGAGGGGGAGAGAAAGAGAGAGAGAGAGTGAGAGAGAATCCCAAGCAGGCTCCATGCTTTCAGTGCAGAGCCTGACTTGGGGCTTGATCCCACGAACTGTGAGATCATGATCAGAGTGGAAACCAAGAGTCAGACGCTTAACCAACTGAGCACCATGGTAGGCAAAATTCTAAACGGTTGTCCAGATTCTTGGGGTAAATACCCTGTGTGATTCTCCAGCATGGAAGGCAGGATAAACCTGTGATGAGTCACTCCTGTGATTAGGTTAGTTCTGTGGCAAACGTAAAGGGGTTATTCAGGTATAAAGGAGTTCCAATTAACACGACTCTGAATTAATCAGAAGGGAGATTATCCTGGGTAGGCCTGACTTAACTGGATGAGTGCTTTAAAATTCAGTCCACGTCTTCTATGAAAGGAGAGGCTCATGATAGAGATTGTTTCATTAGCCTTAAAGAAACATTGTGAACTGCCTTTGGAGGGGACCAGGTGTCAAGGGATTGAGTTTACTGGAAGCAGGCCCTCAGTGACAGCTGGCTGGACACATGGACTTCAGTCTTACAACCACAGGTAATTAAATTCTGCTGAAAACATGAATGGGCATGGAAATGGATTGTTCCTACTCAAGCCCCAGTTGGGCCCACAACCTGGCTGATATCTTAACGATAGCCTGGAATGACCTTCACCAAGAAGACCCAACTAGCCTGGACTTCCAACCTACAGAAACTATAAAATCAAAATGGATATTGTTCTCAGATATGAAGTTTGTGGTAATTTGTTACACAGTGATAAAAAAATCAGCATACCATGTATCATGTCATTATATTTATATGAAGTATCCAAAAGAAACACCTATTCCCTGACGTGCAATCTTAACAATGCAAAATATTTGAAATGCCTGCTAAGGCAGCCTCCTCAGTGCATATGCTGACTTCTCTTTCCCAAACCCATCCAGATAAAGCACAGTTTTGATGTCAACACTGGGATGGAAGAAGTTACTATTTAGAGTGTATAAACATTTGCAGGTTGTCCCTTCTGATTCCTTGGGAGTTGGCAGGGAGGAGTGAGAGGTATAGAATTAGGAGCAACAGAGGCAGATTCTAAGATGGGTAGTTCCCATTCTTACGTTCTAGTCTTTGGGCCAAAATGGAGGTGGTGCAAAGTAGCTGATGGAAACTTGAAGTACAGTCTCTCTAACCCTGTACTCCACTAAAACTGAAGTGTTTTAAGCTAACACTAAGAATGTACGGCACAACCATACGGTAGAAGTGAGAGTCCCTGTTCCTGGGAGCATGGGGACAAACCCGAAAAGATGGAAGAAGCTGGAAGGGCAACTGAGTGGCAAGGCAGGCAATGCCGGAATGGCGCCTTTATGGGGGCCCTGGTTGGCCATTCCCCAGCCTCAGCTGCAGGATAAAGCAGCATGGCCGGGGGATTCTATGGAAATAATGACAGAAACTTAGAAGATGTCACACACAGCAGCTGATATCAGTAAGAACTGAGGGTTGGCAGAATCACCCAGGGACCAACACTGGGCCCTGACCGGGCAGAAGGCCTCATCATGAGTTACGTCAGCCGCCAACCTCAGTAGAACAAGCAAGGACCAGGCTAAAAGGAAGACAGTCTCAATGAATACAGAGCATGGAAAGATGCCAAGAAGAACCGATGACTCTTTGTTCTTACCTCACCGCATTACCTAATACCTCCTGCAACTCTTTGAAGTATCTCTTCTGACTCTTCAGAGAGAAGCAGAATAGCAGGAGAGAAATGTTTAAAAATAATCAATGAATGATCTATTAAAAAAGGCTTCTGTGAAGTTACTCTGATGGGTTGGCTAGACTGGGAACGTGAAGAATAAGAAAAGGAAGGTGATACCCAGATATTAAGCCCGAGCAATCGAAGGATGCTTTAGTGCCATAGATGCTTTAGTGCCGTAGACCGTGGTGAAGGCAGATGCCAGAGAGACTCCCTTTTCAACGAAGCAGTGGGAAAAGCCATCTTCTATTCCAGCTTTGTGAAATTTGAGATGCCTGCTGATTGTATTTGTGCAGATGTCAGTCAGTTGGGTATCAAGTCTGTAGCTCAGGGGAGAAGTCTGGAAAAGCAACATAAATCTGAGTGTCATCCACACGTTGGTAATAGTCAAAGTCCAGAAAGGGAGTGTCAAGAGAGGGTTGAGAGTTGGCCGGCAGAGAACCACCGCCCTACACAATGGGTGGGGGCCTTGAAAAGGAAAGGGAATGAGCCAAGAAGATTGCATGATGGTGGAGCCACAATGGGTGTATTGCCCCTAGGAAAGGATATGAAATGACTGCGGTATTTACCGCAGTCTCATCTGAGGTAAAATTCCACAGAACTGAGAAAATCGAGACCATTTTTGATTCCAGCGGTAGTACTGACATAATAAAGAGAAGAAACGAAGGCCGGGCGTTCAGGCGAACAGTGAGGACCAGATATCCCTATTTCATTTATTTCCACTAGAACTTGACGGATCTGAGACGATAGCTTCCAAACTAAACAGCTGGAATATGGTATCCATCACTCACTGTGTGGAAGCTGGAGCTCTCGGAGCTTTTTATCCTGTGTATTAATAAGTCTTGGGGATGCGAAAGGAGAAAATTTAGTTAGGATAATGTTGTGTTCTTCTGTGTGGGATTATGAATCCTTAATGTTATTGTCCCTACTGATGTTTGTTGGACTCGGAAAAGGCAGCTGGCTCTCTGCGGTTTTCACAGGAAGATATCCACCTCACCAGGCTCTCACAGTGAGAAAAATTTTAAATGCGTAAATGAAGATGGATCATTTTCGCAGTCCCATTGCTTCTCTTTGTGGTGCTTTTTGCCCCGAGATTATACAAATGGATGGTTTTATGGCCGCTGCACGTAGCACAGCTGTAGATACAAGAAATTGTTCAGAAATGGGGGGTGGGGGGGGTTAGGGAAACACTGTGTGACACTGTCGCATTCAAAAGCTGCATGTGTCGCCCGACCCCATATAGCACATATGGGTCATGGAAGTTCCAAATAACCTAAAGCAGGTTTTCAATTATAGGCATGACTCCTTAGAATATTCTCGGCATTGTGCTTTCTCTTTTCTTCTTCTTCTTTTTCTTTTTAATTTAGTTTGTGCCAAATGCAAAAAAAAAAAAAAAAAAAGAAAGAAAGAAAAGAAAAGAAAAAAAAAGTTTTCTTTCATCTTTGTCATTCTCTGCAGATCTTTTTCCTGAAACTAGGGCAAACTTAGCATGCCCTGATGCGAGGTGAGGCGCCCAGGATACCAGCGCCATCAGACGCGCTATTTTCCTTGCAATGCACTACTTTTCAGAACAATAGAGTTTTACAGTCATTCATAAGGAAGTCCCAGGAGCACAAAACAATATTGAAATTAAGCTTAGTGTGTGAAAACATTATGTACTCGTCTTCCCACTCCTCTGCCTTTATGCCTCTGTTCTCTGAGTGATAACATCGCTATAAAACCTCGCAGCTACACTGGAGTGTGTCACTTTGCTGATACCTAGGGGTGTGAGGCCCTTGTAAATCTTGGCTCTTCCACGACTAGAAGCTGATTAAAATGTGCTGGCTTGCTCTGGAGCCCCGTTCCTTCCCGGGCTTCCTCCGTCATTGCCAACTACCAGCGGTCACCGACAGGGCTCCCCGGTCTGCCTCTGCCAAGTGAAAGGTTTTGAAATTAAAAATCCGAAGAAATGGTGCCATGAGCCCTGGATCACGTGGTTTCTCCTTAGGAAACTGCTTAATGAGGAAATTCGGCACAACCGCCCCGCGGTGGCCCAACACAGAACGCGAATTTAAAGACACAGAATTTCTTTCTCGAATGAGACAAAGGCACTCCAGTGGCTCAAAGTGAAGCCCTTCGTTTCTTGAGAGAAATGGTGGAGTTTTGAATGAGGTCTGTGGAATTTCTGGTGGTAGGTGTAACACATGCTGTCCCAGGAAGCTTTGGAGAGCAGACAAAGAGCCTAAGGAGAAAATGAAAATGATTCATAATTTTCAAATCTCATCAAAATTTAGGTCAGACTGCATGTATGTCTCACTCTGCTTAAAAATTTTCCAGTGTCGTTAAAGTTTCTATGGAAATAAGATGTTCATATTTATTTATGTAGTAGACCGTTGCAAACAGGTACCAATGTTGATATAATATTCATTCATTCATTCATTCATTCATTCATTGGGGAGAGTGTGCATGAGTGGGAAGAGACGGGCACAGGAAGAGAGACAGAGGAAGCATTTTCCAGGTTTGGCGGGTAGCTCAACCTCAATGGGGCTCAACCTCAGGAACTATGGGAACATGACCTGAGCAGAAATCAAGAGTCAGATGTTCAAGCGACTGAGTCACCCAAATGCCCCAATTTTCTACTGTAGCAGGATTCTCATACAAAGTCCTGACACCGAAGTTTTTAATGTCCAGGAAGCAACCTCTCAGTTGGGTTCATACCGGAAGAACTGAGCACGGAAACTCACATGGCATAGTTTTTATACATTTTCTATTTCTTTGGCTCCCGTATATAGCAACACACACAAACATCTGATCTGATGAAGTGGCTCTGTTTACAAGGTCATGAGGGATGTTGTCATGTAGGTGCAGAGCCTGGTTACCTTGAAGTTTTCTCTCCCGTTTTTCTCTCTCCTTATGGAGAGGACCCTACCACACTATTATTTAAGTACTTCCTTCCCCCTCCCCAATTTTACAGTATTATGAATAATAATAATAATAATAATGAACATTTTTATACAGAAGTCTTGGTTCACATATGTGATAATTATCTTAGGCTCATTTCTTAGCAGTATAATTACCAAATCAAAAGACATAAAAATTTAAAAGACCTGTTGCCAAATTACCTTCTAGAAATGTAATAACTTACATTATCTCCAATGGTTCAGGGAGAGAAAGAGAGAGAGAGAGAGAGAAAGGAAGAAAGAAAGAGAGGAAGGAAGGGAAGAAGGGAGGGAAAGAAGGAGGAAGAAAGAAACCAGAAAGCCTTTGCCAGTCTGAAAGAGAATTTCATCATCTTCGTTTTTATTTCTTGGCTAATGACCCTGCAGGTGTTCATATGTTTGTCTATTTATTTACGTTTCTTCTGTGAGCTGTTCACTTGGGACATTTGCTCTTCTTCTGTTGGGATGTTAGTGATTTCCTTTTCAATTCTTCAGAACTCATTACTGATTATAGCTATACTGTTTTACTTTTGTTCATCATTTTGTTGTTATTATTGTTACAAACACGTTTCCAGTTTGTCATTAGCCTTTTAATAATGACTTTTTTTTTAGAGCTTTCATTCTTAGTGATGTACGTTTTTCTTTCTGAGTACTTGCATTGCTTTTATGGCTTCTGAATGTTTCTAACTCCAAATTAGTTGGTCTAAGGTCTAAGGTCACCATGGGGAGCCTGGCTGGCTCACTCAGTTGAGTGAGCCTGTTTTGGAGTCTGTGTCTCCCTCTCTCTTTGCCTCTCCCTCACTTTGGCTCTGTCTCTCTCTCGAAAATAAACATTCAAAAAAATTGAAAAAAAAATGAAGTGGCAATATGGTTACCACTCATATTTTCAAAATAATTTTACTTTAAACACGTAAAACTTTGATGTACCTGGGAACTTATTTTTGTGTGTGGGTGGCATCATCAAAATCCAATAAAAACTCTATCACCTTCCTAACTGTCAAATGTCCCTTACCTATTAAAGACATGCATGCACTGGCACTTATCTGGGAACAAAATATCATGTTACATTCATTATTAATTCTTGCAGACTATAGTATTTTAATTGTTCCTCATGAATTCTCATATCTAATCACATAATTTTCTTCTCGTCTTTCTGCCATTGTAAACTTGTTACATATTTTTTCGTTTCTATTTATGTATTTATTTTATTGTTTATTTTATTTTTTAAATTTTATTTTTTAATTAAAATTTTTTTATTTATTTTTGAGAGAGAAAGAGAGAGAGACAGCATGAGCAGGGGAGGGTCAGAGAGAGAGGGAGATACAGAATCTGAAACAGGCTCCAGGCCCTGAGCTGTCAGCACAGAGCCTGACATGGGCCTCGAACCCAAGAACTGTGAGATCATGACCTGAGCCAAAGTCGGAGGCTTAACCAACTGAGCCACCCAGGCACCCCAATTATGTTTATTCATTTTTGACACAGAGACAGAGAGTTGGGGAGGGGCAGAGAGAGAGAGGGAGACAGAACCCAAAGCAGGCTCCAGGCTCTGAGCTGTCAGTACAGAACCCGATGTGGGGCTTGAAGCCACAAGTGTGAGATCATGAACTGAGCCAAACTCAGATCTCAACCCACTGAGCCACTCAGGCGCCCCATATTTTTTCTTTTAGATGAACTTTAGAAACATCTTGTCAAAGTTAGAAAGAAAAATATCATCAGAATTATAACAACTTGCTTTAACATTACAGACAGTCCTCACTAAGCATAATTAACTGGAATTCATACCATGAGAGTGTGAAAAACAAAACCTCTGTCCAATACACATATATTTTCGTTAACATAGTAGTGGGCAAGGTGAGAACTGCCTGAATGAATTAGTTTGTGAATACCAATAGGTTTCTTACACAGGAAGATCATCCATCCTGTATAAATATCCTGTAAAAATATTTATAACTTGGAATCTATATTCTAGGCATAGAAATTAATCCACTAATTACATTTTCCTTTTAAGATCTCCAAGGAAAACATTATAGTGTTCATCTAGGTTGAATACATCTTAAAGTACTTCCTCATTATATTAAATTTATTTTAAGCTAAACCTCCTCCCCCTACCTTTTTTTTTTTTCTTTTTGACTGGACCTTTTCACGGCTTATGCTCTTAAATAGCAAAATTACTGATTTAATAAAAATATTTATTTTGTGTCTGATTTTTGCACTCTCATGTTGATCTAAAAAGAGACTTTTTTCCCTATTTATTCTCTGCAGAGTTTTGGAATAGTAAGTTAACTCTTACCCACTTCTTATTCTCTGATTACATTTCTTATTTTCTTTTTTTTGTATTCTTTACTTTCAATTCATATTTTACTGATTTGAAGTTATCCATAATTGCAGAACAAGTTTAAATAGCACTGGTGATAACAAATAACACTTACTTGTTTTCTTTTTTTAAAATTTAAATTGGTGTTTCATTTTTGGGAATTATATTAACTCTCAGTTTAAGATAATTTAAGATATCTTTTTTTATATTAATAAGAATGCTTTTTCTATTTTTCTTATAATTTTATCAGACATATGTTCTGAATGCCATTCAAACTTTAGAACTTTTATTAAGGTTTTAGAATATCTTTCTTTAGAAACCTGTTAATGTAATATACTATAGTAATATATTTAGCAACCCTGAAATAATTTTGTGTCTTAAAGAGAAACCTCACTTGGTTGAGGGAGATAATTTTTTATTACACTAATGAATATTTTCCCAAAGAATTATTAAGATTTTTAAATCATATAATAAGTGAGTTTGAGTTATCATTTCTTTTTTTTTACACTTTTTTTTTGGATTTTATGATTATGATAGTTCCATAAAAATTACCTTTTTTTGTCTGAAAACATGTATGTATATATTTTTAGACATTTTAAAAATGTTTATTATTTTTTTTTGAGAGAGAGAGCAGGGAGGGGCAGAGAGATAGGGAAACAGAGAATCTGAAGCAGGCTCCAGGCTCTGAGCTGTCAGCACAGAGCCCGATGCAGGGCTCGAACCCACAAACCATGAGATCATGTGGCCTGAACTGAAGTCACTTAATCAACTGAGCCACCCAGGTGCCCCTATATGTATGTATTTTTAAAATTTTACTTATATTTACATAATCTCTACACCCAACGTGGACTTGAACTCATGACCCTGAGATCAAGAGTTGCAAGCTCTTCCCACTGACCTAGATAGGTACTCCTGGTCTGAAAGTATTTAAATGGCGTTAGAATATTTCCATTTTTGAAAATTTCATAGTGCTGGATTCACAAATAAGGTGCTCTAGCATTAAGCTGGTTTTGAAGTAATTTTTGATAATGCATTTATTTTTGTTCTGGGTTATTGCTTCTTTAGCTTATTTTGGAGGAATTTCTATTTTTCTCAGAAAACTTTCATTGTTACTGAGACTTACAAATCTGTTTACAAAGTTGTATGTCATTATGTTAGTATAAAAT